AGAGAGAGAGAGAGATATTACACACTTCTGAGCGAGGAAAATCTGAATAATAACATCCTGTTTCTGTTTGAGCCTCAAACGCTAAACCCACTAGAATCAAAATAAATGAAAGAAACACGCACTATAAACCATCTCCACTTGCGCCTTCTGTTTTTTAAAAACTTGACCTCACATGAAAGCAGCACTTACCACCAAACCAAATATTCCAGCTCAGCGTTTCTTAGAATAAAACAAGGCCGAGAGGAATCTGACCAAAACAAACTCCTCGTGGTCTGGATGAAAGGTGGGATGTCTGGGCATGTCCACATCTGTTGCCTCTGTTTTCTTTGATTCTCTATCACTTCTCCTTCGTTTGTTCTTTCTATTGAAACACAAAGATAGAGACTCATACACACATGTAGTTAAATGCTTTGCAATTTGGTGGCATTCCACAGCTGTGATTATCTATAGTCCAATTATTTCTGTCTGCAGGGAGAGAGTGGGAAAACCTCAGGCTACGGGGAGCAGACTGGAGACAGGAGCATGGCTGCGAGATCAGACAAGAGCGCATTTGTCCAAAATAATTGTTTCTTTTTAAGTTAAAATACAGAAACTCTGCAGAATAATATAACTGTATAATACATTTTATGTGTTGGAGCTACCAGTTTTGATAGCATGTACACTGAAAACCCTGAAAAAATACTGTACAGTGTACTATTTCTAAAGTAAATACATTTTTTTCTTTTTTAAAAATATTTTTTGACCACAGATTAAATTTTTGCAATTTACCATACACAGAAAATCTCATAAACTTCTGCAGGAAAAAAGATAATGTACCCTTTTTTGCTGTGTAGTTATTTTCACCATGTGTGATACCTTATGTAAGAAACTTTGGGGATTATTTGAGAGCACAATTATTGTTTGGGTATGGTGCCAATGAGGAATAAAAGTATCTAAATGCAGTTCATTAGTATAGTTTTACCCTTCACTTAACTTAACATTTCAGACATTTTTCATGCCTTTTAGTGGCTTCTTTGGCTGTTTTCATCACTTTGTATGATATCTGTTAGACATTTTCAATACATCTGACTCAAACTAACACCCAAAGACGCATGGGAACATGTTTATTATATTTACAACAACTGTTTATGTATAATATGCTAATTTTAACCTTTAGATGTGTAGTTAGGTGTATTTTCCCCCATGCTAGACTAGGCTATATACCAATGTGCATGTGTGACATTTTTTCATGACACACTTTAACAAGATGTTAAACAACATGCTGTGTGTTGTTCTTACACCACAGCTTTGACTGGTGGTGTTTTCTTGACTGATTGTGTCTTAATACAGCTGTTATATAAGAAGACTGGTAAGAATTTAGAAAAATGTGGGATGTGATTAAATGTTATTGTTGGCCTGCAAACCAGCATAATTAGGTGGTCGTGTAGGTCTGCAGAGCTTCAGGGTGGAGGGTGGAAAGTCTTTGTTGTGATAGGAATAGAAGTCCGTGAACAGAGTTAAGATCTTTTCATAACAAGCCTAACTTGGAAGTTACCTCTTCAACTATTGAGATTGAGCAGGAGTGTCTGTATGTCTGTCAGCATAATGCAGAAACACAACGGATAACCTGTAAGTGTTTTTAAACTGCACTCAGAGATTCCTTTCATAACTTCAAAGGACGGATGACTGAAAATAGTTTCCTCCAGCTGCAGATAAGAGGGCTTTTCAATATCTGGACTGAGTGCTAATTCACACTTTTCCCATTCCTTTAGTAAGCTCAGCCTCAACGGGAACAAGATTTTAAATTATAATGTGCAACTTTTTCTACACTAAAACAGAGAAAAGGTTATTTTTTAAAAGTTATTCATTAAAACACATTATTAAAAAAACATATTTAACTATAAAAAACTCATTAAATACAATGTATATTAATAAAATAAACAATACATATGATTAAATATTTACTTTATTAAATTAAATATATATTTATTAAAATAAATA